GACCCTGTTATAGAAGTTAGTCATCTTAGCTTTGCTGAAAATGTAGTCGAAAGCGATCTCTTACCATGCCGAGAATACCGTTTTCGGACTGTATCCAGACGTTCACATCACGCGGCAGAAATGAGGGAGCAAGGGTCGGGATTCCTTCACAACCATGAGTACACTTGCAGTGAGACATATTGCGCCACACCACCTACCAACTCCCAGATTCACATAGTAACCGTGCTTAAGCTCCTTGGCAGCTCTCCTGGCTATGCGATTTCTTTGGGACGTTGCTGCACCCTTGACAGCTGCACCGGCGCCTTCATCATTGCTTGATCTCAGCTTCTTAATTTCAATGTGCTTTTCTTCGGTAGCGGGAACAATCCGATCAACGAAAATCCCCGGAAGATCAACATCATTGGGGTCGATCGAGCCCACGGTGACGATGTTCTCTGCCTCAACAATCGTCAGGGTAGCTGCTTTGGCCATGATCGGACCAAATGCCTTGGTAGTATGCCTAAATTGTGTTTTGAGGTTCAGTATATAAAGTGCCTCTGGGGAATAATCGTGGTGAATGATCCTTACCGGAACACACAATTTCCTGCCTCATCGGCCTTCCATGCTCTGAGAATTGCCACGTCTCCGGTCAGTGCAGTCTCCAGTAGATAGGTCTTGCCATTAAATGCCCTGGTCTCACGTTGTCTGCCATGCTCGAGCACTTTTCCGTGCGCATCCAGCCGAACGGGTATCGCTCCATCTTGTAGCAGGGTATCTACACGATGTAAGTCGGTGAAGTTCACATAGTAGCCATTGTTCGAACCTGGCGTACTTTTGGGGAGATATTGACGTGATGAGACATACGTGCACCTGTGGGGGTGAAGAAGGCTGGAATACCAGAGCCACCAGCGCGTAGCCGCTCAGCCAGTGTTCCTTGCGGTGTGAGCTCAATCGAGATTTCACCCGAAAGATACTTCTTTTCCAATGCCTTGTTGTTGCCAAGATAGGAGAGGACAAGCCGATTCACTTGTCCAGCCTGTGTTAGCGTTGAAAGCCCGCCTTTTCCAGCAGCACCTGCGTTGTTGGAGACTGCAGTTAGTGAATGTAAACTGTCCACACCTCGGCGGTGAATCGCCGCTATCAGAGTTTCTAGTTGCAAGGTCAGTCATTCGATGTTGCCAAGGCTTTAGGACTATGGCTAGTATTACCTGCAACACCACAGAGGCCAAATCCCGAGCTGAGAATGGTTGACCCGCTCTTCAAGTCGGCCACTGCCTCATCTGCACTTCCGAACAGTTTTGAGGCCCCACGATCGATCCTTGGAGCCTGCGAGTAGGTCTCATTCCTGGCTGTCGAAAAGCGAGCAGAAGCCCGAGTCTTATTACTACCTAGAAAGGACCGAGGATTGACTTGTCGCAATTGCAGAGGGGGTTGCGGCCGAGCGGCGACGATTGTCCTCCGCGACAAAGCGAATGTCGAGATTCTGAGTGTGGCCATAGCCAAGATGTTCTGCCTATTACTCTGGTTGGCACAAGCGTTGATTTGACTCTCGAGTTGGCGCGAGGAGAGGGATAGGAAGACGTTGGCCCTTAAAACAACTTGGAAAGGTCGGCACCCTTCGGCGTTCGGCGCTACTTCTGAACGCCGACATGTGGATCATGCCCCAATGATGTAATCGATCAATAGGAGAACTGGGATAAGCTACGAATTGTGAGTAAAAATGTTTGTTTGAATATAGCGAGAATGAACAGGATTGTGGAGCAATGAATTATATGCTGCTAATGTCGGTCGCATTGTTGCTTCCAAAATCAAGCCATTCCCAATGCGTCAAGTCATCCATAGGAATACCAGGAACAAACGTCCCGAAGGCTGTGTCCACTTGGTTGACGGCATCAATAATTTGATCGTCAGACATGGCGGAGAATTGGATCGGTTCAGACCAGAACATTGAGGGCAATGAGGATGATTCCTGTGTTCTGATGACTGGCTCATATGAGTCTACTGTGGTTGGCGGCTGAGACCTTTCAGCCTGGTTTAGCGGTCGGATTTCGGGGGTTCTTTCAGGCTGCAAACTCGAAGGAAAGCGCCGAATAAGCTCTCGCAGAAACCTTCCATAAAGTACCGAGGCTCCGTTCCTGTGGGTTGGGACAGCCCCTATTCTTTCCAGAACCGCCGCAGTTTCTTCAACCAGATTTCGCACGCTAGGGGCCAGGCTAGATCTGCTATCTGGCGGCATGGTACTTAAACTCAATGCCGAGCATGCCGCGAACGAAATCATGATAACAGTATTGTTCGGCATTGACTTCAACCGCGACTCACCCTGGATGGCTGCCCTCAGAACATTCAACGCAGACGAGAGGCCCGCTGCACGGAAAAACCTTTTCACGTCGAGTGGCGCTGTGGGATGGTTGATCACGCCCCCATATGTCGATAACTGCGTATGTATAACCAAGATCTCAACATACGGTGGAAGAGATGATGCTTGATAAACTTTTAGCACCTGTTGAGGAAAAGGTGGCGACGGCTGCTTACCTTGGCCTTCGCCAATAGCCGGTGTCCAAGCCTTATACCATTGCCCGTAGAAGCTCTCAATGTGCTGTTTTATCCTGAATACTGAGATCAGCTTGAATACTCCGAAACTCGTCAATCGTACGCACAGTTGAGCAGCTCCCGAGCCAGTATTCGTGGATTTATCGCACTCGGCTCTTATCCTTTTGAAAAGCTCATCCTAGTAGGCGAGGTATGATGTTGTTTCTGTTAGAAGCGTTTCATAGTGGCCTTGCGCGGATTCGGTCCAGAGCAGGGAAATTCAACTCACCAGATTTCTTCGGAGGACGGCCATGGAATTCATTGGACCATCACGAGAGTCGGCGATGTCAGAAAGGTGCCATTGATCACAGTTCTCAATGAGAGCTGTTGAGGGCACCGTATAATTTCTTCCCCGGGCAAGGCATACACTGTAGAGACCTTTTAGAATACTGCAGAGCAATTGATCTCCTCTGTATCGCCTCAAAATAAGAGATCTTACCCTCGTTCGAGTACGAAGAGTGCAATCCACGCCCTCTCGCGTCGTCGCAAGAGCCTACGACCCCATGCAGAGTCTGAAGTCACGTCACCAAAGCCGTCCATCTGCAGTGCTCTCTTTGCATCGATGCATTCAGCTTTGGCAAGTCGTTTTAAAAGACTGCTGTCGAAGCTTGTTGAGGGCAGTACAATTTTGTTCAGAGATAGATCCAATGCAACAGTCAGAGCCATCGCGATATAAATGCAGGTATCGTCATCCCCTAAGTGGTTTCCGGGGTCCATCCACGGGACATTTACCATGAAAGCAAGAACTATCTCGACTGATCGATGCCGCTGAGTGATGACATCACGGGCTAGGAATGCACGATGTCTAGACAGTCTCTTCGATATTGCCGCGGCTGAGGGCAAGAACAACGCCGCTGCAGCCATCATCGAGGTGAACAGAAACGCAGACTGCGAACGGACAAATGACACACTATGGATCAGAGGGTCGAGACCCCATCGAGTGTGGGCGAGGTTGCGGTAGAAACTGGACGGGATTAGTGATTCCGGTGGTTGAAAAAGAACCGGGCTTATCTTTGGACATACTATGAGAACAGCGACTCTGCTTCATCGAGCGTAACGAGCCCCAGCTCAATGGGATCCAAAGTGGGACCAGTGTCCAAGCTTGCGCTGGTGGGAATGAAGAATGATGTGGCTGAGGCCATAGTGTCGCCGTCATCGACATTGTAGATTCCCGATGGCTGCAATAGCGTCGACGATGTCAATCGCGATATACCACGCATATCACTTGGTGACAGTTGTAAGTCGGAAGCACGTGCAAGCAGTTGCAGGGGGTTCTCTGCATCATCCAGTGACAAGCCATCTCCCGGGTTGTCGTACTCGGCGGCTGATACAATAGACGATCCAGCGGGTTCCTCTGATAAATCCTCCGTCTCGCTATGCGGATTTTGTCCTTGTATGTTGTCGAGCAGTCCCCGAAGGTTCGAGATCAAGTTTTGGGCACCCTCGGCCCGGGGCCGCTTGATAGCCTGCTCAACCTGATGCAGTGCCTTTTCCAGTCCTTTACGTTTACTGACATTAGTGTGTCAGTACTTGTTGTCATTGCAAGTCATGTAGATGTATACGGTGCGCACTTTTTGACACCCTTCTGTCGACCGACATGGTGACTCGGAATCACACATGTCGCATCGGCTTGCCTGCATCGATCACAGGATGTTTCGTCCTTGGTTCGATTGCATCGAACTTTGCTTTTCCTACAGTTCAAGCAGGCCGCCTGTCGAGAATGCGACATCGGGTGTGTATCAAGAGGGGGTGGTAGATTATCCATTGCGATGTCCCCGAAGGGGGGTACGTTGGGAAGCAGATATATATGTGTGTGATCTGCGGGTGTCACCATCAGGCAGTGTGGACGCTCATGAAGGGACGCGGCATTCCTCCCTCATCTGAGGGATGCCAACAGGCAGGGCGATAGTAACAGCGATGTTGTATTTGCACACTGCTCTGGGTAGTTCACAGGTCTCACCTCGAGCGTGGGGTGCAATCTGTAGGAGAAGCAAGGGTCAGGGAGGGGGGACATACAAAAAATGAGTGCTAGATATAGTCAACAGCTCAGCCACGGAGATCGGAAAAAACAAATGGATGATAATGAAAGCCGAACGCGGGGGTTGAACCCGCAACCTTGAGATTAAGAGTCTCACGCTCTGCCGATTGAGCTAGCCCGGCTACGTCATGCTTCGAAGTTTGTCTAAATAAGTTGAGAAATTATTGTAAGCCACAATAACCACGAGCATTTAGCAGGCAGGTCATGTTAGTAGTCGGTTCGTTAGCTCGGGTAAACGGAAGTCATTTAGAAACTTTCAGCCTATGCTAGACCACTTGTTTGGGTGTTGAAGCGAATCTGCGATCGATCAAACCCCTGAAGATATCCTGGAATGTAAGTGTATACCACCAGAGGAGGTCCCAAGCATTAAACCTATTTAATGCTAATGAGGAGAATCGAAATGAATCAGTAAATAAACATGGCTCGGCCATGAATTAGATTGTATGGCCTGGTTGTTGATCGATATATGACAGGTCATCGTGCCATATGCTCTGTGTCGAAGCCCTTTAGGATATCGCTTGATGAAGATGAAATAAGAAGCAGCCGGTCAACACCCAAAGCAGCAATCTGAACAACAAGCCTGACCAGTAATAATGAAAATGCCACTTGCCTCCACCGTGTTCGCGTCAACACATATTGCTCAAAGTTCAAGACACAAGAACAAAACAAAACAAACGGAGTATAGACCATACAGAGTCACATCTAGTTTGCTGCCCGTAGAGCTCTTAGTCTAGCCCCCAGACCATCCTCCAACTCCGAGTCAACTTGCTTCTGATCCCTGACTTCCTCACGAGGAGCAGCATCTTGCTCTAATGCTATGCGCAGATCTACGCCGGCATCGTCTGCAAGTTGTTCCATCAAGCGATCAACATCGGCCTCACCCTCCGCACCGTATTCCTGCATCGAAACACCCTGGGCGACATCCTCTATGGCACTGCTTGCTATTTTAAAATCCTCGGAGCGAGCCAGAAAATTGTTTGCGTGTGAGACCAGATTCTCTAGGTTGACACTTTTCGAAGCCGCATCCAGCCCCCTTGAAGCTAAGGCAAGAGTCCGGGAGGTATCTCGCGTACTTTGTGCTGCCTTGAGTTCGTTGATGATGACATCTGCGCGAGCAGCCTCGGCTCGGAGAGTCACTTGCCTTCTCTTCTCACGTACAGCAGATGCGGCATGAATGCGAGCGATTTGAAACTCTCTATTTTTCATTGCCTTGTCGGCCTTCGCCTTCTCAGATTTGAACGTCGCTTCGGCACGGGCAGACTCTTTTTTCAAGCGATTGGAGTGCAGCTACAAATTGTAACAAGAATATTGCGTGAGTTAAGGTGGAAGCTTCGGCATAAAATGCGGTTGGTCGCAGCGACAGAGAACACACACACACCTTGACATTGGTACGAGCCTCAAAGATCGGGTCCTTTCGAACCATGTTGGGCAGTGAGTAGGCTAACACCAAAAATTGACACTTCGAAGTATTGAGAAGAAACAAAGCCAAAATGACCGACGCTTTAGGAGGACGGAATAGGCTACTTTCTCAGAAGGGGCAACGATAGCGGCGCGGCGGCGACTTAGCGTGGCAACGTCATCCCGAATGCCGTATCACCGCACTTTCACTACGGATGTTAAGTAGCTACACCACAGTAGAAATGCAGAAGAATAGCAGGCTGGGTACTCATGCAAGTCTAGTAGAATCGATCTCTGGCGACTAAAATGGCTCTGGTCGTGTTTTGAGTTTGCAACATTCACATGGTTCCTCACATTGATGTATGTCTACTGAAATGACTACTTTATTTACAACGTGTGTATGTAGCTTTGTAATCTTGATTAATATAAAGTGAATATGATTTCGTGAATATCGGAGAAAAGTTCATGTCTCTAAGAGCCGGGAGCAAACAAAAAAGAACAAATATATGCGCAAATTCGACTGTCCCAAATAACGCCAATGCCAGTCACGACCCTGATCATGTCACAGCTAAATGCAAGGGGATGAGCCATTCCCGACACATGACTTCGTGGCGATTAGACTATAATGTGACATCCATCGTATCATCACCGGCATCGACTGCACCTTGCCGTTCAGAATCAGGTAAAACAACCCCTCTTCCTCTACCGGCGAGCAATTCGCGCCTAACCTCGGGTCCAATGTCTTTGTGCCCTTGAACCAAGAGCAAGTCAAGGAGAGCCTCTCGTTGGTCCTCGGTGATATCGTTACGGTAGCGTTGAGCGAACACCAGCAATGACTGGTGCCACAAGACAGGAAGCTTGTAAGCCTTAGCGTCACGGGATGGCCCATCTATCATCATTGACTCGTCTGCATTGTCGTTCGCGCGGAAACGCAGGAAGTGAAAGACAAGCGCATCAATGACCTTGTATGGAAGTGCGTACTTCTTCTCCAAAAAGATGCGAATGAAGACATTGACCGCACCAGTACTCTCCAGAGATCGCAGGGATTGTTCCGCGGCAAGGTCGCACATACGAAGCAAAGCCGCAGCCGAATGCAGGACCGGAATCGAGACTCGAGCAATGACGGAGGAGACAATATGGGCTTCGCGAAGAGTACATGTTCCGCTGGAAACTAGGGGAAACAGCAGTCCCTTGAAGAAGCAAGCGGGCTTGTAGAGTGCTTTCTTCATTGCATTGTAGGTATGGACATTGAGCTTCTTGGTCTCATGTATTTCCTCACGGACACGATCGAGCAGTACTGTCGAGATAAACTCCTGTGCAACTGCAGGCTTAGAGGATATGAAAATTCTTGTACCGGCATAAACAGCGTTGGCAGACCAGGATTCCGGGCGTGTGATCGAGAGAAGAGTCGGCCAGTTGGGAACCGAGGGGAGAATTTTGAAAGGTTTCGGAAGGGGGCCTGACTTGTAGCGAGAGAGAATCATACCGACTCTGGGTTTCTCATTAGCATTCAAAAAGTTCAATGTAAAGCAGCTTGAGCATTGAAATCTCACTTCTCGTAAACCTCAACCGCCTTCGCGGGGATCTGAACAGCATCTTCCGCCAACCCTCCGCCTTGAATGTACGGCCCACCTTCGCCAGCCTGTTTGGCTTCATGTTCTGCGATCTTTTCAAGGATCAAATCCGCCAGATTTGTGGTCTGACCCTCGGCCCCTGGTGCACTAGGGTTGAATATCGGATCCTCATCCCCCCCGGGAACGAACTTGTGAAACATGTCAAGATCATTAGGATCAACTTCCTGAGGGTATAGTCAATATATGTACAGCCTTCGAAATCCTAGGAAAATAGAAAGAACCGAGGTAGCATACCACTTCTTCGACTTCCTCCACATCGTCCCATTGCTCATCTTGAAACCTCTCGTCATCCGACAAGAATTCTTCATCTTCTAGCCGAGACTGAAAGTCGAAGGCAGTATTCGTCTTGTCTGTTGTTGCGCCCATCGAGAGTTTTTGCTCTGCGGCATCCTCCTCTGCCAATTCCTGCCCGATGCGCAGGATCTTGCTAGACATTTTCGCATCAACGAATCTTTCGCCATCTTCTTGCTCCTCATCTTGACGGGATTTGCGATTGGCCTTTTTGCTTGCTTGGGTTCTTAAGTGACCAGCTGGGGTTAACATATCCTCGGCGAGAGGATTGTGCCGGCGGGCAGCGACGGAGCGAGATGCTGCTGCTTTAGGCATGTTGAGTCACTTTCGACACCCCTTAGAGCAACCTTGTATATTTAGGATTCGTCTGAGTTCAGAAGAAAAAATCAGGTTAAAAGTTCTAGTCCATCAATCCGCCAGGACAAGATGCATGAAACGAATGCTATTCGCCTCTAAATCATCCTTTGACAAATGTGTGTGTGAATTTCAAGATCATGCGGTTCTATTTTTTTTCTGCCATTCTCATGTCTGACCGCCTTTAAACTTGTATCATGAGTGGCTCAATTTGAAACCTACCGCCCATACCCCTCCATTATGGGGATTGGTTGCTTATAAACCTCATTCGGATTAGGAAAATGCCGGCAGTACCCGTGACCCTGACCGTACCAACCTAGTAGATATCTTCACCGCCCCATAGTTATCTCGCTCGAATGCTTTCCGCCCTTGCAAGTTATGTCTCGGCGACCAAATAACTTCGAATATGGTGCTCATCTAATATTGCTATGGCTGCTGATCATACAGCGCAGCCTAAATAATTTTAGCAAATTCAAAATACATGCTCGTTCGCTTTCAGGTAAGTTGCTGGCGGGTTTTATCAATTAGTACTAGCTTCATGTTTTGTCATAGTCCTTTGTATTTGCAGATGATGGGGACTGCAGGTCATCTGCTGACTATCAGCCAAGCACACCTGGGGCTTCCCTTTTCTTCCAAATTCCGTTTATGCTTCTAACTAGTCATGATCGCCTCAGGAGCTTGCAGATCTGAGTGCACACAGACAGGCCTTCTAATTCATTAGAAGCTTGAGTCCTTCTACCTGTCACGTCAATACGATTTCTTAGAGAATTTAAGGCGACCCCAGTTGAAGGTCTAGGCGTTCTAGGAGTGCTTCAATTCAGAAAAATAGTGTGGTGTGACGACGTCAAACCCCGGCTATTCTCATATCATAAGGCCCTCGCCGCCATGGCTTCTACGCAACAGACAGGGGTTTCAGCGCCTCCCTCCAATGTGGAATCTTCAACAGTGCCCTCTGGGGGCGCACCGCTCGGTGGGTCCCTAGCAGACACAAATGTCAGATCTTCTCCTGCGCCGCCTAGTAATGCATCAGTACAAGCCGATAGTACAAGGTCGAAGCGCACAAAACGGGATAGCCGCAAGAAGCGCGAGGCTAGAGCTCTGGATCAAGAATCACAGCCCACCAAGAAGAGGACTATTATTGTTCAAAGCACCGCGCTTCCGAGTTCGGACTTAAGCATCTTGCGACCTTTGTTGCTTGCTGAGCCTCGAGCTTCGGATTTATTGCCCCCGCAACCTCGTCAGATGAATTTTGTGAACACAAAGAAGTCAGAGGTTACGGGTCAGAGATGGGATTTTTATGAGGTTGTCGACAAGCTTACGAATAAGAATGGTTTCCGTTATAGCTACGCAATTGCCGACCCAGCCTTTCCACACATCAAGTATCGACAAACTGATGTCTCACCCTACCATGCTCGGTTTAGCTTTGAAGACTCACCCGCTGCGATTCTCTTCACAAAAGATGCTCGTGCTGTAACGACCAACGAGCCTTGGCATACTGCACGAGCCAACGTGTGCGCGCGAGAAGGATCTTACTATTATGAGGCGCGCATAGTAAGTGGTGTTGTGAATGATTCACCGCCAGCTTCAGTTGGAAACACTTTAATTCCTGCACGAGGTCATGTCCGTCTCGGATTCGCACGGAGGGAAGCTGATCTTGATGTCAATGTCGGAATAGACTGTTACGGCTATGGTATACGTGATGTGAATGGCGAGGTGGTCAATCGAATGCGTTGCGAATACTTCTTTCCAAAAGGCGAGTCCATTCGAGAAGGGGATGTCATTGGGCTTCTAATCACGCTGCCCCCCCTGGCCCTTCACAAGAAAATCGTTGAAGGCACATATGAGCCCAATGCCCATGGTGATGCTTCAATCACGACTTCAGACCCACCGTCCGTCACCAACATCATCCGTGACCGCATTCCGTTCCATTACAAGTCTGATTTCTGCTGGCAACAATCAAATGTTTTTCCCACGAAACAACTACGGGATTATGCATTCAACCTTAAAGAGACGCCGACATTCGGTCCGCCTTCCCCGCTCAATGGCGAAGATGCATCTTTACGTACCCTTCCTGGTTCCAGTATCACAGTATTCAAAAATGGAGTGAAGATGGGCACTCCCTTCAAAGAACTGTATGCATTTCTCCCTCCCGCGAGCAGATTGGCCAATGGCACCAATAATCTGGGAATCGGGGAGCGTGAGAACGCCGATGATGGGATGATCGGTTATTACCCTGCTGTTAGTTGTTACGGTGGAGGTGCTGTTGAATGCCGCTTCGATGGTCCATGGTGGTTTGGTCCACCAGCCCATACCGAGAGCAACGAGCCAGTGTACGGGATAGGAGAGCGATTTAACGAGCAGATAGTTGAAGATGTCATCGCCGATATCGTTGATGAAGTGGAAGCCATGTGCGTTTGGGGCGGTGTGGATGGTAATGTTGTTGGCAATGCTGAAGTCGATGGGTCTGGTCCTGGAGCAGTTGTCGGGGGCTCGGAGGTGATGAGGGGGGGCGTGGAGATTGCCTACGAGTCTACTATACCATCCGATTCTAGAGTTCATGATGCAACTCTAGCCAACGTCACTAGCCACGAGCCCGCCACTCTAGGGGACCATGGCCCAGGTCACACCACTTCTGAAAATGTAATGAGTCTTGATACTGCGGGTACACTTGATCTGGGGACACAATTGTCTGCGGCACTAGACACCGCGGCGGGCGATGAAGACGTGGAAATGTCATGAACGACGAAATTCGATTCGCATCGCATGATACCCTTTTGCATGATATTTGTATTCAAAGACATGGACCTAGTCACCGAATTCGAAGGTCCTATGTCGAATTTCTTGCGGCAATGGCAAGGATATACACACGTATGCTTAATAGTCAATAGTACTTACCCCAAGGCTGCGTCAGCGCTCACAAAGCTGGAGTGGTGGTCTTTATCTTCAGATGGGAATCGAATTGATGTAGTGTATAAGTTTCTTCGATCGAATCTTAAGTCTATTACAAGATTTCCTATTTCTAAAGGCGCTCGTTGGAGAGCAGTCCGGCCACTTCCAAGACTAGGGCGTCATCACCGTACTGGCCTATTATTTGGACGCCGGCCAAGCTCTCAGTGCTTTCGTCCGTGACCGGGACTGAGGCAGCTGGAAGACCTGCCAAGCTGGCAGGCACTGTGAAGACATCATTCATATAAGCATCCAAGGGGGGGCAATTGGCGCCTTCGCCAACAAGGTTCGACAGAGCTGGCGGCGAAGAGGGTGCCGTCGGACATATCAAAACATCAACTTGGGCTTGGCTGCCCTTAAAATTCACTTCATCCCCATCAAGTGGACGAGGCATTAGTGGATGTTTGGCCAGGAAAATCGCATTGAAATCTCGCTGTACGAGACGACGAATGCGCTGCGCCTGTATGAAGTAGTTGTCTATAGCGCCGGCGCTTAGACTAAAAGCCCCAAGTAAAATTCTTCGCTTGACTTCGGACCCTAATCCCTCGCCTCGCGTTCGTGCATATAGATAGCTGTTCATCTGAGGATGGTAGTGGTCACCATTGAGACTCGTTCCATAACGAACGCCGTCATATTTAGCCAGGTTAGAGGATGCTTCAGCGGGCGCAAGGACATAATAGGCTGACAAGGCAATCTGGGTCGTTGGAAGAGACACAGGGTGGATAGTATGTCCCTGCTGTAGCATATGATTCAGTGAGCGAGACCAGGCACGTCGTACGGAAGGTGCCAGCTCAGAAATGTTGTATTCTACCGGAACGCCAATCTTGAGGGAATTTGTCGTCGTCCGAGATGCAAGGCGAGGTGAGGCGAAGTGGTCATCGATCCGCGATCGAGTACCAGGAGATAGATTAGTTGGGTCGCGCGGGTCGTGCTGGTTCAGTATGTCTGCGGAAGTTAACAACTTCTTTGAGGTGATACGTTGTGAATACGAGAATGCATACCAAATACATCACGTACACTAGACACCTCTCTCCCGAAAATACCCACTGTATCCAATGAGTTCGCATAAGCGACTACCCCCCAACGGGAAATCAGTCCGTAAGAAGGCTTGAAACCCACTATCCCCGTGTAGGCGGCAGGGAGCCGAACAGAGCCCCCCGTGTCAGTTCCCAGTGCTCTGTATGTGTGTATATTGTTAGATGTCGTCCTCCATGACCCGATGGATGCTTCGATAGAGACCACACGTACGTGTAACATTGTTCTGTAGCAACAGCCACCGCACTGCCCCCCGAGCTTCCGCCGGCTGATAGATCTTCTGCATTGCGACTGCGGTACATATTTTTGACGGGACCGAAATAGGAATTCACCGAGTGCGAGCCCATCCCAAATTCATCAAGGTTCGCCTTCCCGGCCACAATGGCCCCAGCATCCTCCAATTGTTGGACGATAGTCGCATTGAAAGGACTGGTAAACTTATCTAGAGCTCTCGAAGCACATGTGGTTGGAAGTTCGCGTGTACATATGTTATCCTTGATAACCACTAGCCGTCCATCTAGCCGTGACTCAGGTCGACCTGCGCAAGTATGAGGAAAAGAAGATCAAGTGACGTTGTCAAATATTGGTGGTACCTTGTGCGCGCCGCGTATCTGCCCCTCTGATTCGATCCAGCCATTGGCCTGAGGAGTGCAATGTACTGATTAAGGCATTTAAAGCGGTGTATGAATTCTGGTTGGCGATGCATCTCTCTGCTTCGCGCAAGAGGGAGGACATTTAGGATTTAGTATGATACAGTGAGTTGGCTGCGTTGTGAAATGAGAGAATGCGGAGAAGAGGCGGAGACCAACATAGAGAGGGCAATATTTCCGAGTGAACCCTTTACACCCTTTGGATGCGCCGAGCGGTGAGCATTGCCGAATTCTGTATCGGTAAATACCTTACCTGTAGTCGACAGCTCTCTCTGGTACCTGAAGACCGAGAAGTCTCTCTCCGTACTGCTTGTGTATGTGTTTCCAGTTGTTTTAGTTCAAGAAACAAAATCTAAACCGCAAGAGATCTGAGTGATACGTGCACGGGTTGACAGCTTCAGATGACTCAAGCTACAATAAAGCTTGCGATTACTCCGTACTGTACATAGGTCAGTTGATTTAAGTACACCCGTGACAGTGTACAGAGTACGTATTCCGTACGGAGACTGCAGCTGGAAAAGTCATACCCGCAACGCTGTCTCTCCAGCTCCGTCGGCCCGAAGAGGAAACGACGTCATGCACATGCTATCTCTTTCTTTCGCTCTCCCTTCCCCTGGCTTTGCTCTCTCCCCCAGGAAACCGACGAAGTGCTTCAGAATCATCTACAATATATCACAACGTGAGGATTGACTCTGTACGTCACAATATATCACAACTTGAGGATTGACTCTGTACGTCGGAGAATATTGTTCGACCCTGTCAATATGCTCTCCAACAGCTTGGTACGGTCAGCGTTCGGTGCTTCCCGCAGCCGCGTCGGAGGACTGAGTTCCAGAGTCAGAGTCTCTGCGTCGCTCACTGCGCCGACGCAAAATCAATGGCAAGAATTCAATTGCCGTCACTCAGTGGAGAGCAAAAGGTGGATCTCGGTCTACGGGTACACCCAGGCTAAGGCCCTCGTTTATTCTCGTTACGGGGAACCTAAGGATGTTCTGCAGTAAGTCTTGTCTATGCCCCGTGCCCCAGGGCCTTTCCTGGCTCATCGAAGCACGCAAATGCAGGACCGTGGCTGAGACTTAGCTTAAGGCTTCACAAGCATTCTATATCGGCGCCCCATGGAACCCAAGTCAACCTTCGTCTACTTGCTGCTCCGCTAAATCCAGCTGATGTGAACCAGATCCAAGGCGTCTATCCGAGTAAGCCACCCTTCCAGACATCGCTTGGTACACAAGCACCGTGCGCTGTAGCCGGTAACGAAGGCGCGTTTGAGGTCATCGCTACGGGCTCACATGTCACCAACCTCAGCAAGGGAGATTGGGTGGTAATGAAGCAGACTGGACAGGGGACCTGGCGCACTCACGCTCAGATGGACGAGTCTCAACTGATCAGAATCGAAAATAAGGAAGGCCTGACCCCGCTTCAGATCAGTACCGTCAGCGTGAATCCTGTGACCGCGTACCGGATGATCAAGGATTTTTGTGACTGGGACTGGATGCGCGCTGGGGAAGAATGGTTGATTCAAAATGGAGCAAATAGCGGTGTTGGACGAGCTACCATCCAACTGGCGCGAGAATGGGGCATCAAAACACTAAATGTTGTGCGGGAACGGAAGACGCCCGAGGAGACCGAAAAATTGAAGCAGGAACTGCGTGACCTGGGCGCGACGGCCGTAGTGACAGAAGCCGAGCTGCTCTCCGGCGAATTCAAGAATCTTGTGCATGATCTTACACGCAAGGGGAGGGAGCCAATCCGGTTGGCCCTGAACTGCGTTGGCGGGAAAAGCGCGACTGCGCTAGCCAAAACGCTTGCACCGGGCTCGCGTCTAGTCACATATGGAGCCATGTCGAAGCAGCCGGTTGCCCTGCCATCCGGTCTGCTCATATTCAAGGATCTTGTTTTTCATGGTTTCTGGGTCAGCAAATGGGGCGACAAGAACCCACAGCTCAAGGAAAACACTATCAATGATGTGTTGCAGTTGACCCGGACAGGCAAGTTCAAGGATATTCCCGTGGAGGAGCTTAAATGGCGTTGGGACACAGAGTGTGCGGAGCTTGTAGGGGGCGTGCAGGAAACACTCAGTGGCTTCCGGAGTGGAAAGGGCTTGCTCCGGTACGAGGCAGAGGAATGAATCCCGCATAGAAGTGTGAATTTACTTATGACAGCACCGAAGCGCAAGCTTGAAATTCGGCCGTGACAATCGTGCAAAGCTAGTCAATCTTGCTTACATGTATAATAAAATTGTCGATCCACTCTCCCAAGGGGTAACTTTCATTATCATGTTCATATGAAGGTCTCCTGAGAAGAAGCCCTTCCAGCAAGCTACGAGTGATACTGAACAATTGATTTCTTGCTTTCCAGTACAGAAAAACAAGGAAGCTATGAGATCTGGCGATCTACGATGGCGCATGCCGTCTGTCAATTTCGTAGCTCCAACACCCAAGGAAACGGAGGCCGTCAAGCATCATATTCTGCATCGGTCAATGTGTCCGGTCACGAAATTCAGTTCGGATCACAAAGACCCGTCTTCGCAGCCCCAGTTCGTCTTGACCCAGTTCAGAATCAGGCTTGTTAGACTAGTGGATGGCATGTAGACGTCACTGTCTCGCGTAAAATCCACATCAAGGCTTGCGAACTTGGCCGCTAGAGCTACATAGGGCTCAATAAAATCGATGTAAACCAAATCCACCGTTTCAGGCTGGTCAGATGCGGTCGGAGATACCAGGGATTGAATGCAGTTTGGTACTCGATAGAATGTGAGAGGAGAATGGACGGTATCATCACCATCAGTCCCAGCATCATCGGTGGTAGTATACCCTGGAATTAGGTTAGGCCCGGCATAGTCCTTCATTGAAAGTAAAGCCTGGTCGGTAAGCGAGCCTGGAGCGTACCATCCAGGGCGCAAACTCTCGCCACGGTTAGCGTCTGCATGTGCTGATTGCTCAGGCGGTGCGAGTGGCCAGGTCGGTAGACCCACATGTTGACGCTGCTCGGTCATTATTTGAGGCTGTTTGTTGAGTACCTCGACCACGAACTTCGCTTTGTGGTAAGGAACATCTTTGACGTAACGGAAACCACTGGAAAAGGGGGAGACAATATATGTTGTATCCTGGGTGAAAGGGCCTCTGAAAATATCGAAGCGAATAGCCCCCGTATTAACAATAGCAAGCGCCGGCTTGCCAGTACGTGACTCATCTTTTAGAGAGACTGAGAGCACTTCTTCCTCTAGCCATGTGTATATATTGTTCTCGTGAGGGTACTTGACGCGTGACATCCAGAGATCCCTTGGAGCACAACCGTGAATTTTGTCCAACTTGAGAGCGCTTCTGGATTGTTGGATAAGTAAGGATACATTCCGGCCATGCTCCGTGTGGAATGTGCCCTCATCCAGGCCGGTGTGGTGGTAGAATGAGAACAAATTGTTATCGATATACTTCCGACTAAACTTAGGCGCTGCCAGGGCGGGCTTTATGTGATGTTTGCTGGTGGACAGCCCATCGATTGACATGAAGCCAATAGTTTCCATGAAACGGCCACTCGCAAGTCCGTAGGCTTTGGAGTCGTACCGCACATAATCCCGAATGTGGTAATGCCCCCCAAAGAACTGGATAGGTGTATCCCACCGGATAGCGCGGATCTCCCGGTACACAGCATCATATTCAACGGAGCGCACAGGGACATGACCAAGGACAAGAAAGAGGTCCACATCTTTGTCTCTAATGGCTTCTTGGAACCAGTCTTCTTTGATAGTCTGCTCTACAGACCGAACAATAGTGTTGTTGTCATTCTTCTTAAAATTGAACAGAAAGCCGAAGGCAATGATGCGAATCCCTTGGTTTTGCGTGGTAAATTTCTTAAATCGAGGCGCCAAAGGAACGAATTCGTTAATTGCTGGGTGTAGAATATCGATATTCGATGCTAGGTAGTTTCCACGGAAGTTGGGAATAGTGGTGAAGAACTCTGCTTGGGACGTCGTCCGATTGTACAGCTCATGGTTTCCCGATGACAGAAGGTCTATGTGTTGTTCTCGCAAGATGTCGGAGAGGTAGACGCCCTTGGGCTCCGAAGAATCATACAGACCATTACCTTCGACTCGATCACCTGTATCGATGACCAACAGATCTGAGCCATCCGATTCGGCTTTGTCACGCATGCGGGCGGCAAAAGAGATGTAGTCCCCCCAGTCCGCCGCATAAGAGGGTCTAGCACACGGGTACTCAATCAGCAAGAACCCATTTGGTAAAGCTTTGAAAAGGACATCCGAGTTTCATACTCTTGTAAGTGTCCAGCCAGCCAGCCGTGGGTGTCTGTAGTATGTAGAAAGTTGAGTTGCCCCAATTCTAGGTCGCGCAATGGCGCAGCGACAGGGTCCGGAGCAGAGGGCTGTAGTGCGCAGACGATCGAGGTAAAGGGAGAGGACGACAGCAAGAGCACTACAGCTGCTGCTGCAAAAGAAGTATGGGTCATGATGATTTGACCCGGACGAGGTGAGGATAACGAAAGTAGTATGTGAGTGATGAGACCGAAAAAAACGAATACTCTGTTGAACTCCGTCGTAATGTCGGTGTAGTAGTAATTAGCTATTGTACTATACTCAACTCCGCCAATATACAAACAACTCCGAAGAGTCAATACTCCGGGAAAGCCTTATCGCCGATGGTTCCCTTATCGGCAGTCACGCGGAAATTCCACGGAACGGAAGAAGGCGCCGGTGAGAATATTAACTTAGTCAGCCAGCCCGGGCCCAACAGTCTTTCTCGAAGCTCTCACCAAAAACCACATCTCTCATTGAACGAAAGATTCCCGTGTTGGACAAGTTACGAGGCTCTTCAAGGTGCTGTCCGATTGCTTCTTCTAGTCTGTATCCCTCCTCTCGCTTGGCCTAGACCATTGATCACTTATTCTAATCTCCTCGTCCAACTCTCCAGTTCGGCCATGGCTGCTCCCCGACTTTTCCGCCCAGCAGCTCGTCTGCTTTCCTCGCGCCTTCCCTCAACTCCTCTTCGCCCGGCTTTCTCGCAAACTACCTGCACACCTTCCGTCCTGCGCTTCCGGGGTTACGCCACCGAGACTGGTACCAAGGAGGTCACAGTTCGTGATGCTCTGAACGAGGCGCTCGCGGAGGAGCTTGAGGGCAATGAGAAAACTTTCATCATGGGCGAGGAAGTCGCGCAGTACAACGGAGCGTCTGTAAACCCCTTTTTCATCAAATTTGCTCGAAGCTCCCCAGTCTGACCTGGCTCAAATCTTACAGATACAAGGTGACGAGAGGTCTGTTGGACCGCTTCGGTCCGAAGAGAGTCATCGACACCCCCATCACGGAGGCTGGCTTCACTGGTCTCGCTGTCGGCGCTGCTCTTGCCGGCCTGCACCCAATTGTGAGTCTCGATCAATGGAAGCTAAAGGCGAGCAAACGCCTGACGCGCGTGCCTCACTAACTTGCCTCTTTCTTCTTTCTAGTGCGAGTTCATGACCTTCAATTTTGCCATGCAATCCATCGATCAGATCATCAACTCCGCTGCCAAGACGCACTACATGTCCGGAGGAATTCAACCTTGCAACATCACTTTTCGCGGGCCTAATGGATTTGCTGCCGGTGTTGCTGCTCAGCACTCTCAGGATTATTCTGCATGGTACGGTAGCATCCCTGGTTTGAAGGTTGTTGCTCCCTGGAGCGCCGAAGATGCCAAGGGTTTGCTGAAGGCTGCCATTCGTGACCCCAACCCCGTTGTTGTTCTGGAAAATGAGTAGGTCATCCATTAACAACCATCACATCAACTTTTGTCAGTGCTGACAGAGGTCGACAGGCTTCTGTACGGTCAGGCCTTCCCCATGAGTGAGGCCGCCCAGAAGAATGACTTTGTCCTTCCCATTGGCAAGGCTAAAATCGAACGCCCTGGCAAGGACCTCACCATTGTTTCTCTCTCCCGCTGTGTCGGCCAGTCGCTCAACGCCGCTGCCCAACTCAAGCAGAAGTACGGTGTGGAGGCTGAAGTCATCAACCTTCGTTCTGTTAAGCCTCTTGATGTGGAGACTATCATTCAGTCCCTCAAGAAGACCGGCCGTATCATGTGTGTTGAGTCCGGTTTCCCCATGTTTGGTGTCGCCTCTGAGATCCTTGCTCTCTCCATGGAGTATGGCTTCGATTACTTGACTGCACCCGCTGTCCGTGTCACTGGTGCTGAGGTCCCTACTCCCTACGCCGTTGGCTTGGAGCAGATGAGCTTCCCCCAGGAAGACACCATTGTTAACCAGGCCGCCAAGCTGCTGCGCTTGTAAGATAGTCCGGTCTTCATGAAGAACAAGCGCTGTTGAAGAACAACCACAGATAATAAAGCCTCGTGTGCCTAGCACCCTGTGATTGTTGCCAATCACTCCCAATATTCCATCTCGCCCTGCCTTCCCATCTGATCTGAATTTTGTACGACTACACAACAGAACCAATTCCAATTTGCATTGTTAGACAACAACTCATGATGACCTAGTTCCTATAGATCTCTTCATGCGCTGATGCTTCAAAAATTCTTTTTGTAGTTGTCCAGTCACCAAAATGTACCGTTAAATGAGGATGCCATGCCTTATACACGTTGATATTCACAGTTAGGAATTTGCTCTACCAGTATGGTGGAACGAAAAGGCCGCCTGCAGAACATGCTATGCTAAACCGCAACCACGAGTGGAGGGACAGGGGACATACTATGGGTAACCGAACACCACCTAAACCATATACAGTCATATGTCTTGTAACGTTTGAAGCGTTGCATCTGTTCAAACAATTTCTATTCCAGCTCGATTGTCCGTCCTACTCCCGGCACATCCGTGGTAGCAACCTGTAGGGTGATAAGGATTATAATAAATCTCATCACCGGCTTCGCATTCAGTATCGCTTTCCTCTTGTCTATCTTGGGGACTGGGACGTTTCGCTGTCGTTTTCCGAGTGTGACTGCTCGAGTATGCGGATTCCGGCTTGGTGGAGTCTTCATGATCATCGTCATCCCCTCCTAGAACGTTCTTCTTGGTAGGCGCACCTGGGGCGACGGGTCCTTTTACTGCCGTAAAGGAGCTTTTGAAACCTCCTTTCTTGAAGCCTCCCCCGCCGTCAGAGTTGAGGCCGTTTCCACCACCTATTCCGGTTGTCGAGGGACTCTTTTTGTGGGTGTCTAGTACCCTTAAGCCGGCTTCCGCATCAGCTTTCCGCTCTGCTCGTCTTGCTTTCTCCGCAGCGTTTGGATCCCGGGAAAGCTGTTTGAGATCCTGCAGGCGCTTGCGGTGCTGATGATCATATGATGATATATGGGCTTCATATTCGGGGTGGCGGGAGTAGGATTTGTTGCACAGTGTGCAGGTAAACGAGTTCAAGGCTGAGCGCGCCGAATCAGTCTGGTAAGAAGCAAGTCGGAGACGCTTGTCAACAGAAGGCGACGTGGTAAGCAAGGCATTAATAGCCCGGGGGGTGTCATACCTTGGGGGTAGGATTGGTGAAGCCGCGCTATCGAAGGAAGTTCTGTCAGAAAAAAAAGCCCTGTCTTCAATTGCTCAAGGATCGCTCCCCGGATCAAGACCCGTTAGGAAGGAGAGAGGGTGTCGCGGGCACTTGCAGGCGCCATCTTGGAACAAGATGATGATAGCGTAAGAGCACTGTACTCTGGATCACTGGCAACTGCAACCAAGTGGAAAATCTGCCAAGTCTATCTCAAAATCTGTGAGCACTGTTAGGAGGGTAGCGCTAGTATGGAAGGATGTCGGAACTCGCTCTCTGATGAACGTATGCATGAGTTCGCATTACCATCATCGCAATCAACCCAAACATGTATCAGTAGGAAATACGGACCGACGTCAGATGATACCTTCACATTCTGTTTCGTGCTGTTGCCGGAAAAAGATACGCGTCACCGGTCGGTTCGGCTCGGTACGCGTAGTTTAAACGCCAATCATCGTGCTACAAATTATGCATGTACTGAGTACTGTACTGTACAGTACAAGTACTGTACAACTATCCAGCTTTCATCCCAAAGTGACGTCTGTTTTCCCTCTCCTTCTCGAAATTTGTCACTGAAAATGGAAATCGCCCACGTTTAGTCCCACGGAATAATGTGTTGAACAATTGATATCTCCCTTTTTTTGCATTGCCACACATATCAAACTAATTCCGGTGCTCTTGTCGCCATGGCGTCTGCCCCAGACGGCCTCTCGCACAAGCCGGAGGACATCGACACCCGGTCACTCATTTCCATGCGAGAAATCGACCCTTCTCCAGTGGAGGATGAGTTCCCAGGCCTTGAGAGCGGCGAATATTCCCCGGAGTTTCAAGAAGCGTCTCGAGATTCATTGGGCCGGAACATAAGCGCACTGTCGTCTCTCGGCCTAGGTCTCCGCGGGCATAGCTGGGATTCATGGCGTACGACTCCTCTGTTGCCTTTTCATCTTAGCCTTCCGTCGCGATTGACCCTGCGTGGACTAACGCCTTGCTTTCTGAACCTCAGTATCTGCATTCCAACGATACTCGACGTATCCGCCTAGCTTATTTCTTGCTCTGCACGTTGCTAATACCTCAATACTTCCTCTCGCGACCCGCTCCGTAAGCGCAAGCGAAAATTATCTGTTGCTCACCAGGCCCCTCTATCAATCCCCGTCACTCGAACATGTTGTTCTGACTGTGCCAGTTTTGGTTCATGTCCTTTCTGGCATCGCTCTGCGCAATATCCGCTCCTCACGGCGGGCCCGACTCTATGGCGCAGAAACCCGGTCCCAGCGGTATGCGCTCACGTTCTGGCCACGGATGAGCCTGCAGGCACGCTTGGGGTATTCACTCATTCCGTTACTTGGTGTGCACGTCCTCGTCAATCGTATTAGTCCGATCCTGGTCGACGGAGGAAGCTCGGGAGTGGGGCTGGGCTATGTGGCTCACGGCATTGCGCGGTCTCCGATTTTCTGGAACATATATTATCTTTGTTTTGTCGCTGTTGGGGTATGGCATTTTGTTGGTGGGTGGGCTTCCTGGATGGGCTGGAAGGTCACAACCCTCCGGAAGCAGCCCAATTCAAAAAAGGGGTCTCTCGAGGGTTACCTTGGCTATACTGGAAGTGAGCAACGATGCCGCAGACAGAAGAGAATGTGGTGGACTGTAAATACGATTGCTGCAGTGGGAGCATCGATCTGGCTGGCTGGCGCTCTAGGAGTCATTGGCCGTGCCGGTCAGGGCTCTGGGTGGGAAGCCAGTGGATGGAACGATATCTACAATCAAGTTCCCATCATCGGATCCTGGATATGAGGAGTGCCTGCTTGTTCATGGATTCTGTGTATGAGATTGAATGCCTTTGGACATAATGCGACCTGGAAAGGCTTGGTACTTATAATGATGATGATGATGATGATGATGATGATGATGATGGCGATGACAATGACAACGATGGTACAATAGATCCCCATGTTCCAAGTGCCTGACATGAACGTTGTCTTACATAGACTCTCTTTGATCGGGCTCAGGGTGCTGGGTATCCTGAGGTGTAAGAGTGCCCCCCCACCCCGGGCCTTTTTCTATTTTTGCGCGCGGCGCCGGGAGCTCGTACCATTCAAACTCGCCCCGCGGGGAGAAAAGAAAAATCTACTTCTCCCAGAATATCCATTCTCTCCCTACTTCACTTGTTCTCTGTGACGTTCAGGTCAGTCAATGAGCCTTTTTCATTTTATCCTTGCTCGTTTTAGACCCGTCGATTGTTTTTCCCACCCTTCAGTACCTACTGTTCTGTCAATCTCGCTTCTGCGCCCAACAGTGAATACGCCAGCCCCCGTTCGGCGAAATCATCCGCCCCAATTCCATACTGAAGTTCGCGCCATGGACACCTCGGAGCAATTGATCCAGTACGCTGGCACGGACTTCAGAGCTGTAAAAGAAGGAAAGGCGTATATTTTGAACCCTCCCTCTCAAGACGCTGCCTCCAAGGCCACGAGGAAGGATCTCAAGGCTGACGATGAATCTCAATCCGTTTTCTACAACCCTATTCAGCAATTTAACCGAGACCTTAGCGTTCTTGCAATCCGGGCCTTTGGGGAGCATGTTTTAAATGTGAAGAAACAGAAGGCGGAAAAGCGAAGGCAGAGGCTAGCAGAAAGTGGTGGGACAAAGAGTAAAAAGCGCAAGCGAGAGGACGAAGCCAACCAGCCAAAGGACCAAAGCGAACAGACAACTGAGCCCGCCGCTGCAGCAGTTCCCGACTTGCCTTCGGAAGAGATCATTGCGCCGTCATTCACAATCCTAGATGCTCTTTCTGCTACAGGCTTGCGTGCGCTACGTTATGCCTTGGAGATCCCATTTGCTTCCTACGTTGTTGCAAACGACCTTTCAGAATCTGCTATTCGATCAATGAAGACAAATATCGAATACAACAAACTCGAAGACCGTATCCACCCCAACTTAGGAGATGCACGCGTCTTCATGTACAGCCTTTTGGAGCAAGATAAGAGTCAGGACGTGGTGCCCCATTCCGGCAAATTCGATGTCATTGATTTGGATCCATATGGCACTGCTTCACCTTTCATGGACGCTGCGGTCCAGGCAGTAAAGGATGGAGGCCTTCTTTGTGTGACTTGTACTGATGCAGGAGTGTGGGCTTCGCATGGGTATCCTGAGAAGGCTTTCGCCTTGTATGGTGGCGTCCCGGTCAAAGGACCGCATTGCCACGAAGGGGGACTGCGCTTGATCCTACATTCGCTTGCCATGTCTGCCGCCAGATATGGACTTGCAATTGAGCCCCTATTATCTCTATCAATCGATTTCTATGCGCGAGTCTTTGTCCGGGTTCATCGCTCCCCTGCCCAGGTTAAGTTTGTTTCTGGAAATATGATGACGGTCTTCAATTGCGACGAGGGCTGCGGGGCATGGTCAACCCAGCCTCTGACGCAGACCAAGCAGAAGCTTGACAAAACAGGAAAGCCTTTTCCTCATTTTGGCTTTGCGCAGGGTCCAACTTCAAACTCCCGTTGCGAACATTGCGGTTCGAAGATGCATGTAGGGGGCCCAATGTGGGCCGGTCCACTTCACAATCCACATTTCATTCAGAATATCCTTGATATGCTTCCTAAGCTACACCGAGATGTTTATCAAACTGTTGATAGAATTGAGGGCATGTTAACAACGGCACTCGAGGAAGATTTGAACTTCGACATTGGCCACGCCAACACATCACAGAAGCCTACCGATGCACCGGCGGCAGGGGCCGAAACTGCTGCCATTATTCCACGGGTTGACCCCGCCTTGAGTGACAAAACCCCATTCTACTTTAGCTTGAGTGCGATATCGAAGGTTCTTCGTACTGCTACCATTTCCATCGATGCGATGCGCGGGGCTCTTCGACATTTGGGCTACCGAGCCACTCGCACCCATGCGAAACCAAACACAATTCGGACTGACGCACCCTGGGATGTGATTTGGGAGATTATGCGGGAATGGGTCAGACAGAAGTCTCCGATCAGGGAGGGCGCTCTCAGACCCGGAAGTCCTGGGGCTGTGATCATGTCGAAATGCCGAAAGGTTCCCACAGATGGCGACAGCGATCAGCAACTGCTAAAGTCGTTGAAGAAGGAGCTTCAGTTGGTAATGGAGCAAGAGCACAATATTACGGATGTAGTTAGCAGGCTTGAAGCTGCTTTGACACGGGCCGGTGCCCATCGAGCGTCAGGAACTACATCGGTACGCGATACACAGAACAATGACCATCACGATTCCAGAACGTCTATTTCTGGACAAGGGGCCCGAGTCAAAGCCGCAGCTAGACCTCATCCTAGCACTTTGGAAGTGGTTTTTGATGAGAGTTTAGGGAAGGAGCTTTCAGCGAGAAAGCGTCTTGTTCGATATCAGCTTAACCCTCGGGAAAACTGGGGTCCCTTGAGTAGAGCATCTGGTAGAGGGTAGGTAACACCGTTGGTTCTGGCCCCCTCTTTTCGCATGGTCATTAGGCAATACGTTATTATATGATAGTGAACTTCTTCACTCTGAACAACATCTGCACCATGAGTTAGGCCTATCTTTTATAGGAGAGGGGCTATTGATAAATCCTTAATTGACTGTCTTCGCATTTTCAAATACTGTAGGTTCTAATTAGAAGATGTCAGATGCTATACCATTACATTTATCAGTACTTCGAAGTGACACCTGAGTAATATTGACAAATACAAATTTGAGTCAAGCATTTCGAACAGGATTGAGTATTCAATTGCGAGTATCAAGAGCGGGAAATTCTACGTGTACTATATCGGCGATTTTGAGGTTTCAGAGGTAAGGTGTATGGAACGTGTTCTCAATTCTCTTAGTGGTTGGTGGTTGGTGGAACTGACTGAATTATCAACATGGGAAGCAGCCTGGTAACCGCGTTGCATCACGTGGCCGGATTACTTCAGCTATGCCGACATACTACCCTTGCTCAAGATATACTCCGAAAGCTGACGAAGGCAAAACACTTCAAAGGAAGATCCGGCTGGTTCGCCAGATGAAAGCCAGGCTTGGATTGATCTATCTATATGAATATGTGGTCAAGAAACGTAGACATGACTCAGACACTCCGATTACATCAAAGCAGCTTGTTCGCTCGCCCAAAGATCAGAATCTCGACACAGCAACCGCGACAGCCTGCGTATCACTGTGGCTGATGCTAACACTGACTTGCTTGACACCAGCCTGCTCGGCAACTTCAGCAGCAACACCATGAAGCTAGCAACATGTTAGCGTCAGACGCGAAGATGACAGGTTGGAAGTGGAACTTACTTGGACAACAGGCGCACCAGTTGAATCAGTGACGATCTCAATTTCTTTCAGCGGAGAGCCGGCGCCCTTGCTGCTAACGCCCAGAGACTTGAAGACCGCCTCTTTGGCACTCCACCGACCAGCAAACGATGCACGGGGAGATGGTGCCTTCAGGCAATACTCTCGCTCGCTAGCAGTGAAGTTTCGCTCGATGAAGGTTTCATTTTCGATGTTGAACCCCTCAATGTTCTCAACGTCGACACCTACCTTCGAGTCCTCGGCGGCGTTAGCTTTCGCAAGAGACTCAATCATCGATCTTGTACTTTCAGTTCCCTTGTCACTGGCCTTCGGAGGGACTGCAGGGAACTTGAGTTCCGATGTTTTCTTGTCAACCGCGACGCGGTAATCGGGGTTGAGGAAGATCTTGCTCTGTTGAGAATCTTCATAGGGAGCTTTGTCTTTGGCAACGAAAATGCTGTTGTTAATGAGACCGTTGTGGAAGTAACGGTAGGCCTTCTTTTGTCTGGCCTCAACCTTGGCCTTGTAAGTCTGGAACTGTGCCCGGTCCAGAGTTGCGTACAGGTACTTGGGGTGGATTCCAATGACCTGGGCACCCTTCTGACCGAAACCGAACGATGTGACTGAGAAAGCATTGATACCATCAGTCTGGATGCTACGGCTGGGATAAACAATGTAATCGAACTTCTCCATGACCTTGTCCACGTTATCAGCATTACGGTTCCCTGGAACCAAGCCACTGTCAAGAACCTGCAAGCAGCCGTTGAACATCCAAGCACCGGCAGCGCCCTTGGGATGTCCGGTGAGATACTTCTGGAAGATACCCAGCAGCGCATTGCCCTTCTTGCGTCCCAGATGCTTCATTTGCTGGCAAATGACATCAGATTCGTTTTTGTCGTTGGCCACGGTAGAGGTACCGTGGAAGGATGCAACACCAATGTCGTCGACAGTAAGGCCCCAGGTAGCAAGGGCGCCGCGGAGAGGGGCGATACGGGGGTCTTGCTTCCAGAAGTTGTTGCCAAGACTAAACTGGGCATCCTTCTCCTGTCGGACAGCTTCTCGCTCAATGTGCCGAGCCCGCTCCTGCAGATAGTCCGACTCATCGAATGGCTCAGAGCTCTGGGACTTCATGGCCTCCACCTCCTCCTGGAGGTAAAGCAGCTCTGATTCTTGCCACTCCTTGATTTGCTTCTTACGCAGGTCAAGCTGGCGCTGGCGGTATTTGATATCCAACAACGGCGACGGGAACTTGCCAGGGTTCTCTCGTGCGGTGGTGAGAACACCCTGACCGGGGGCGGGGACGGATCGTCCAATCTTGTCCGTGGCGGTCGTTGTCAAGGCAATAATACCGTAGATGGGTACGCCCATGTCCAAAGCCAGCTGGGCGCTCATAATGAGTTGCATACCACAACCCTGTGACTCCATGAAACCCGCACGCGTGGTGGTAGTGGGACGCGACATCTCCTGCGGGGTACGGCCGTGGGAAAATTCATCTTCCGCATTGCTGGTGGCCTTCATGTTTGCAAACTCATATGATCCTTCTTCCTGGAAGTCGTCGAATCCACCAACAAAGCAGACGCGAGCTTTGCCTTCCACAATCGTCTCATAACCGATATCAACAGATTCAACTGCCGTGGCACAGGCACCAACAGGGGTCTTGATCGGACCAGTAGAGGACAGCAGAAGCATATTGACCCAAGCGCTCATAGTATTGATGAAGGATTCCTGCAGGATATCCTTTTGGAGGGGCTTGTCCAGGTAGCGGTCTTTGTACATGCCTCGTAAGGCGTGGGTGCCTCCAATACCGGAACCAATGCAGTTACCGACCTCAGACAGGTGAACATACTTGTAGAATTCGTAAGGGTCGGTGACACCAGCAGAGAGCATTGCTTCCGCAGTACAGACAAGAACAAACAATGTGACTGGATCAACCTGTTCGATGATGTCGTCTGGGATACCGTAGCGCTTGGCGTCCCAGCCAGTGGGAATCTGGCCAGCAACGAGACGATCGAACTGGAGGGCCTTGGGAATAAGCAATGTAGCCCCCTTCTTGAGGCGCACAGTGTACTCTCCCGATTCGGGCAGTTCAAAGATTTCAACTTTGTCACCATGCTCGCGCTTGAATTCTTCGGCAGTTTCCTTGGATGCCTCGAAGGGGTCAAGATCTTCCTGGATGACAATTTCTTGGAGAAGTTGCTTCTTCTTGGGATCATATCCCTTGAACAGCTCAGGCTCGATCAATCGAATGCCCGAATGCTCCAGAATGTGCTTCTCGTATTTGGGCTTGACGTCCTTGTCGTCCACAGGCTCGCCAGTCTTAGCGTCAACCCATCCTGAATAGGCTTTGCCCTTGAGAGGACCATTATGATGTTTGATTAAACCCATAATCCAGGCCATCTCGACGCAGCCCTCAAGGGAAAACTTGCCGTACGCCTCCATCTCCCAGCGGGTACGGGAGTTACCCCAGGGGCCGACCTCTGAAAACCCAGTGACAACAACCACCTTCTCAAGGTTGACCATACCCTTGAGGTTCTCATTGAGGGGCTGAACATCCTTCTCCCAGTCAGGAAGTTGCGGGAACTGGAATTTGATATTGGCACGGGGCTCGGCGACCACTCTTTTGTAAAGGACCTCGCTGTCTTCTCCGTTGACAACCTTATTCTCGATGGCGGTTTCCTTGATGACTGCTTGGCGGACATCACTGGTCTCCATGATGTCAGTGCGGAGCCTCGTCATGAGGTCCTTGAGATCGGGGATGAACTGAAGACCGCCGTTGAGATCAGCCCAGACAGGATCAAGCTGGCATAGGTTGACAATAGCGGGTGCCATGAGACCAAGAAGGTTGAAGGCCATCTCTTGCTGTGAGAAGGTGCGGACACCGAGCTTTTCAACGCCCTCAGCAACCATGTTGTTACCGCTCATCAATCCTGTGCCGCGCGTCCAGCCAATAACAGCACCGCAGATGGTCAAATAGTTGCTCCAGTTCTCCGAGTACCAGCGATTAAAGAGAGTCTCCAGAGCCAGCTTGGACTCCGAGTACAGTCCGTCATTTCCGAAAGTGCCGTGATTGGGAGACAAAGGAAGGATGACTTGTGCTGGGCGGGTTTCAAAGCCATTGGTTTGTTTCTGTGTCTTAATGCTACCAAGAAGTCGGAGCAGGTTTGTGAGCATGATGCGGTGGGCCAACTCAGACTTTGAGTCAATCGAGTCGATCTCCCGACCATTTTCCGGGATGGCAGCAAATGGGACAACGAAATCCAGATCCCAGCCAAGACCCTTCTTAGTGTCGTAAATATAGTCGACCAGTGCTTCGACATCTTGTTTGCTACCTTGGTTGAAGGGCACAACGACGAGTTGAGAGCCACGAGCGCCATAGCGGGCGTACATGGCCTGATAATATTCAGTGACCTCACGGGAGAATCGACTCGTTGTGACAATCACCTTAGCACCACCGCTGATCAAGCCCTGCAGCACCTCAGCACCGATGGAACCGGCACCAGCTCCAGTCATGAGAACATTCTTGCCTTGGAATGTGAGACCAGATCGAGCTGCTGACTCCAGAACGTCGAGGTAAACACCGGTGAGCTTCTTGTTATAATCCCAGCCGTGTTCGTTCTTCTTCTTCAGGTGCAAGAAAGGGATGGTCTCAATCTTGCCCGACCGAGGGCTACCATTGCGCTTGACACTGTTTCTGCCAGACTTCTTTCCGTTGCTGTTATCCTGTGGAATGATCTGATTCTCATTCATGCTCAGGGCGCGGATAACCTCTTTATAGAGAGCGTTGAACTGCAGCTGTGAAGACTTGGAGAGGCGGTGCTGCCTGCGGATCAACTTATAGACACTGCGTAGGTCATCTTGCACTTTGGCGCGGTTGCTGTACTCCGAGATGGGACCGCCTTCAGCCATCTGCTTAACATAGTGCTCTAGTTTGCGGGCGCTGGCGCGAGGGACTTCCTTGTAACCAACCTTTCCTCGGGCATCGACAGTGGTTTGAGGTCCGGTAGGAACAGCAACGTCCTTGTAGACAGGAGCAGCGTCAAGAACCTCCTTGCAATTCTCAATAAGTTGCTCACCAAGCTCCTTTGCAAGCTGATACGTTTCACCCCTATCAGTGGGGCAGTTGTCGATATGATACTGCATGAAGTCTAGAAGGAGAGGATTCGACCGGTTCATGATACGGATGCAACGGCTCACAATCTCCCTATCAACAACCTTCAGCCTTCCAAAGATGATGTCGTAGTACATGCTCAAAGCATCTTGGCGAGCCCAGTTCCAGGAGGAGTCGTAGACACGGGCCTTG